GGAAGGGGTCAAGGTCGTAGAAGTTTTAGAGGCAGAGGAAGTGGACGAGGCAGACAAACTTCAATAGGGCCACAGTGGAGTGCTATAATTGTCACAAGCTAGGACATTTTCAATGGGAATGTCAAAGCAAGAAGAAGGAGGCAAACTATGCAAAGACTCAAGAAGAGATAAAACCAATAGAGAAGATGTGTGGTTCCTTGACTCGAGATGTAGCAATCATATGTGTGGGAAGAAGGAATATTTTTCAGACTTTGATGGAAGTTTCAGAGATTCAGTGAAACTGGGCAACAACTCAAGCATGGTTGTAACAGGATAAGGTAATGTACCGGTGCAAGTGAATGAAATCATAGAGATAATCACATGAGTGTTCTATGTGTCGGAGCTGAAGAACAATTTGTTGAGCATTGGAAAATTGCAAGCAAAGGGGCTTACCATTTTGTTTCAAAATGGAACGTGCAAGGTGTTTCATCCCGAGAGAGGCTTAATCATGGAGACAAAGATGTCTTCGAATCGAATGTTCGTACTGCATGCTATATCTCAGCCTGTAGCATCCACGTTTCAATACAATCACAGAAGATATTGAGCAACTTTGGCAATGTAGATATGGACATTTGGGCTTTAAGGGATTAAAGACTCTTCAGTAAAAGAAGATCGTGGATGGTTTACCACACCTCAAGTGTCCATCGAGACTAAGTAAAAATTGTCTGGTGGGTAAGCAACAAAGGCATCGTTTCCAAAAAGGAGCACATGACGAGCTTCACAAATTTTTCAATTGGTGCATGTTGATATTTGTGGACCGATCAAACTCATCTCAAACAGCAAGAAAAGATATTTGATTACTTTCACAAATGACTTTAGTAGAAAAACATGAGTTTATTTTTTAATAGAAAAATAAAAAGCCGTAGGTGTATTTAAAAATTTTAAGATTCATGTTGAGAAGGAAACAAAGTCATTTATTAAAGCGTTGCGAATTGATCAAAGAGGAGAGTTTACATGACAAGAATTCACCAATTTTTGTGATGTAAATGGTATACAAAGACAACTAACAGCTGCATACACGCCACAATAGAACGAAGTTGCAGAACGAAAAAAATAGAACTATTATAAATATGGTTCGTAGTATGATTTCAGAAAAGAAAATTCTAAAAAGTTTCTCGCCTGAAGCAGTCAAATGGACTGTGCATGTACTGAATCGAAGTCCAAGGCTATCAAAAATAAAACTCCACAATAAGCTTGGAGCGGACTCAAACCTTCAGTTGAGTATTTTAGAGTTTTTGGATGTATCTCTCATGTTCATGTGCCCGGCAATAAAAGAATAAAATAACTAAGTTGAATGATAAGACTTTGAGTTGAAGTTAGTGAAGAGTCATAGACTTACAAACTCTATGATCCAACTTCACAAAGGATCATAATAAGTAGGGATGTTTTATTCGAAGAAGATAAGAGTTGGAACTGGGATAAGACCTACGAAGAATCTAGGGGTGATCGAGAGGAGGAAGCAGATGTGTTTGATGAAAATGAAGAAGGGAGCGAATCTAATATAGAAGCTACAGAGGAAAATACTGCAAAGGAATATTTCCTCTAGCTCTTTAGCTGAAGCAAGCTCTCCTAGCTCGAATAAGGAGAGGAATAGGAGACCACCAGTCTGGATGAGAGGCTATGCAACAAGAGAAGATCTTTCTGAAGAAGGTAATGAAACTCACTTGGCCATGTTTACCACTACTTTGAAGACGCATGGAAGAGTGAGAAATTTTGGCAAGCCATGGATCTGAAAATGGGAGCAATAAACAGAAATGACACATGAGAATTGATGGGGTTATCGAACGATAAGAAGAAGGCTAGAGTAAAATAGATTTTTAAGACGAAATTCAATGAAAATTGGGAAGTAGACAAATAGAAGGCTAGGCTTGTAGCAAAGGGGCATACTCAACAACATGGGATAGACTATACTGAAGTATTTGCACCTGTTGTACGTATGGAGACAATTCGTTTGGTGGTAGCACTTGCAGCTCAAAGAAGTTGGTCCATCTATCATCTCGACGTGAAATCTGCATTTCTATATGGTGATTTGAATGAAAAAGTCTTTGTGGAGCAACCGTGTGGATATGTGCAAAAGGAACATGAGCAGAAGAAGATTTACAAGTTAAAGAAGACACCTATGGGCTTAACAAGCTCCACGTGCTTGGTACAGTTGTATAAAAGCCTATTTCATGAAGGAAGGTTTTGAGCAGTGTGACTATGAGCATACTTTGTTCATCTTTTGTGTTAAGTTTAAAGGAGGAATGGTTAGGTTGTGTTATTTCAGATTTAACTAACATAAGTTGAGGAATGTCTCTTTATTTGATTTAAATTTGATTTAGTTACCAAGTTATTAGGAATAGGCTATTTTTACTTGTTTTTAGTGTATTCTAGTGTATAATAGCAAATTTCATTCTTGAATAGATGGTGAGATTTCTCCCACTTCCTCTGATCTTTCGAGTTTCTTATAAGAGACATATTCCACAATGTTAGAAGTTGGAATAGTGTCAACTTCCCTTTTCATTCCAGTACCAGTACTATTGAAGCAGGCCTAGGCCATTTAGGATTGTATGACCGATAGTTCAGTTAGATTACCCTACACAACAGATCCATCCTGAGAGGGAACGTGGGATTATGAGGATAATCTTAGTAGTCGACAAGCACAGGGAGAACTAGTTTCACACTACTCAGACAAAGCAAACTACCTAATCTAAGAACAGAAAAAAGAGTTCATCCTAGAGATGAGAATTGCCCCTCAAAAGACCTACGACGCTAGAAATGGGTGAACCACCATCTCTAAACTCAGAGCAGATTCATGAGTAGCTAAAGTACTGCTCGAAACTTCGAGGCATGCCAGATGCTTAGATAGCATTGGAGACTAGGCCTAACTTCCTAGAGCTCAAAGTGAACCATGGGTACCTGTTAAGGATATTTAGTAATAAATTATAGTTTACCATATATATTATATTTGATATTTTATTATAAAATATCTAATATTTGCCTTATTATCATAGGTATCTTTCCATTTATTGTTATTTCCATTTATTACTATTTTCATATCCTTGTAATTTATTTGATTATAAATAAGATAATTTTCACACCATTTAGGTGGGGTGGATTAATCAAACATTTTTTTGGTCCGGATCAAATTTCAAAACCATCAAAATCGGGTTCTTATATCCAACTAGCTATGGTTTTCATATCATCCCTCGAGCGATGGTGACACCCACTAGCACGAGAAATAATGAACACACAGTGGATCAATTCTGCCTCAACCTCAGCCAATATGCAGTGGTTCTTCATCGATCGATTCATGCTTGGTTCTTCATTGACGCTAGAAATGGGTGAACCACCATCTATTTCTAGCTCGTTTCAATTGTCTTACACCGGCTCCAACTCAAATTAGTTTGGGTTCTTATATCCAACTAGTTACGGCTTTCATATCATCCCTCGAGCGATGGTGACAACCATTAGCACGAGAAATAATGAACACATAGTGGATCAATTCTGCATCAGCCTCAGCCAATATGCAGTGGTTCTTCATCGATCAATGCATGCTTGGTTTTTCATTGACGCTAGAAATGGGTGAACCACCATCTATTTCTAGCTCGTTTCAATTGTCTTACACCGGCTCCAACTCGATTTAGTTTTTTTCTTCGATTGTTTTGGCTTGATTCAATTGTTTTTTTCTCAGACAGATTTCTTCAATCCATATTCATTTTTCTCTAGTGTTTCTATCGATTTTTTTTACGAATTTGGCCAATCACACATTACCTCATCATTATATGTCGATTTTAACTTTAATTGTGATGTAGTGCTCATGGTTACCCACATTTTTAATATAGGATAGTGTCTAACACGGTTACTAATCACATGATTTTTGGGTAGAGTTGAGTTGAATTGTTGATACTCGATCCACGATAGTTAGGCCAATAAGTTGGAATTGGTAAACCATACAGTTGGATATGCATATTCTTGTATGATTCTATGTTGTTTGCTATCATGTTATATTGATTAGGAACAATAAATAGTTTGCTAATGTATATATTTATTTTATAATTATTGAATTACATAGTGATCTGGTTTCACAACTTGCATAGTATCATAAATAGCTATTTCGACTATTACTCCTCCACCGAGAGAGTTTATAAATAAATACTGATCTGGGTCTCGAACAGTGATTCGATTGATGATAAAGAAAGAGAATTTTTTGTTCATTTCTCCACCTTAACGACAGAAAAAAATGATTGAACAGTGATTCGATTGATGATAGTAAAAGGGTAATAGTCGAAAGTTTATTGAGCAGTAATTCGATCGATGATAAAGATGATTGAACAACAATTCGATTGATGATAGTGAGGGGTGATTCGATTGAACAGTGATTCGATTGATGAGAGAGTTTATAAATAAATACGGATCTGGGTCTCGAATAGTGATTCGATTGATGATAAAGAAAGAGAATTCTTTGTTCAATTCTCCACCTTAACGACAGAAAAAATGATTGATCAACTTTTATTGAGCCTGACTCATAGTGATCATTTATCAAAAAATGACTCTGGTTATCAAATGAGTGAACAATTGGGAGTAATTTACTTACAATACTTAGTGTATTACATAACCAGCTTCTAATGTTCACGTGAGATAATTGCTAATAATTATTTCCATGATAAGAGTTACACTTGTGTATTGGGTAACCGGCCACCAATGGTCACTAAAGAGTGATGGATGAAAATGATTTTTGGTGAGTATATTACACACTATATGCTTCGAATAATCAACCATTAGGATCCTTCGATTTTGATTGATAAACTATATGATGGTTTGTATATCTGACCTATTAGGGAAGTGTCTTACAAACTGACCGACATGGTTTAGAATCTCGTCATGAGGCCATTCTAGATTTTATGTATAAGATACCAAACTGAATTAATTAAAGGATTCACTCAAAAAATTAATAATAATAAATTATATTAAATAAGTTTTACAAAATCATTAAATTCCACATGAAACAATAATAAATTCTACTAAAATAATTTTATTTAAATTAATAATCAATCGTGAACGGTCGAGAATCCTTTCTAAGCATCTCCTCCTGATCCAGATGGGTCCTATGCACATCAAAACAAGCAAAAATATATACCAAATCATATATTACTGATCAAAACATGCATTATCACTTTAATTACGACTCTAAAAGTCAATAATTTTATCAAATTTAATCCTAAGAATGAGTACTCTGAAATCCCACATCAATTAAAGAGGAGAAAGAAACACCCTTTATAAGGGTGTGAAAAACTCTCCCTAGCAAACACGTTTTAAAAAGTTTGAGTAAATCCGAAAGAGAAAACCCAAAGAGGACAATATCTCGGTGGGCTTGGATTATTACAAATGATATTAGAGCCAGACACCAGACAGTGTGCTAGCTAGGATGTTGAGCTCTGAAGGAAGGTAGATTGTGAGATACCACATAGATTGAAGAGGAGAATGAAACATTCTTTATAAGGGGTGTGGAAAATTCTTCCTATCAAACTCGTTTTAAAAACCTTGAGTAAGCCCGAAAGAGAAAACCCAAAGAGAGGAGAACGAAACATTCTTTATAAGGGGTGTGGAAAATTCTTCCTATCAAACTCGTTTTAAAAACCTTGAGTAAGCCCGAAAGAGAAAACCCAAAGAGAGGAGAACGAAACATTCTTTATAAGGGGTGTGGAAAATTCTTCCTATCAAACTCGTTTTAAAAACCTTGAGTAAGCCCGAAAGAGAAAACCCAAAGAGAGGAGAACGAAACATTCTTTATAAGGGGTGTGGAAAACTCTTCCTATCAAACTCGTTTTAAAAACCTTGAGTAAGCCCGAAAGAGAAAACCCAAAGAGAACAATATTTGCTATCAGTGGGCTTGGGCTGTTACAAATAGTATCAGAGCCAGACACCAGAGTGTTAGCGAGAATGTTGGGCTCTAAAGGGGGTGGATTGTGAGATACCACATAGATTGGAGAGGGTAACGAAATATTCTTTATAAGGGTGTGAAAACCTCTGTCGAGTAGACGTGTTTTTAAAAACCTTGAGGGTAAGCCCGATAGGGAAAGTCCAAAGAAGACAATATCTACTAGCGGTGGGCTTGAGCGGTTACATCCACTTTATCTCTATCCATACCATAAAACACAATTAACATGATGATCTCTATAGTATTAGGTTTTAGGATCGTGATTATATGAATGAATAGAGAGAGAGAGAGAGTACCATGGAAGGAGGAGGAGGAGGAGGGATGTTGTGGAGCATATTGTGCATCATGGTTTGCATGAGTGATGGCATTTGGTCTCTAAGTTGGGAAAGCTCAGTCTTCACATTCATAACCTCAGCTTGCATTGCTTCATTTTGTTGTTTCAACATTCTCACCTCTTCTCCATTGTATGAACATTCATATCCTTCCGACCTTCTTCTTTCTCTATCATCTATTTCTGTACTCACAATCTTATTTTGTAAACAAAAACGCTTGCATGCCCATGCATGGCAATAGGAATAAGGAGTATTCATACCAGCCGAGAGGTTGGCGATGGCAGCCACCATGTCGCTAATGCCTTGGCGGTGAATGTGGTTGCGCGCTTCTTCGATTTGAAGGCAACGTTTTTGAACCTCCATAACCTCTTGGTGTCGGATCTCCCTTTGCTCCTCGCAGCTCCGCAGCGTTTGAGCCAACATTGCAGCGCTTCTCTCAATATTATCTTCCATTTTCCTCCTCTTTGCCTCCGCCTTCTCTTTCTTCTCACTCGACTCCGTACCCGATGAGGATGATTCTACACACACACATACAATTAATTACTAATTTTTCTCGTCATAATTAATCAACTAAAAATATATACGGATTGAATTGGGTTAATCTCTTAAACCAATTTAGAAATTTCGAATTGATCTTATTAGTTACTTAAACCTGAAAAATCAGATTTAGTTTTGTTATAACCCTATTTTTGGAATGGTCGGATTGACTCGACCAAAAGATGTCAACCCATGAACTAACCAAGTCAACTCAAACTAAAACAAAACATGACACTTTGAGTTTTTAAGTCATAGAAACCCGAGTAATTAATAAACATATAATACTAAAAAAAAAAAAAAAAAAAATCAAGAGATAGGGTTATTTTATTTTATTTTTTTGCATAATATTTAATTATGGAAAGGCTGAAAAGGGAGTTTTGCATTGCATGCTTAGATTGAAGGGACCATATTGTATTATCGTATCTTAAAATTTAAAAAAAAAATATATATATATATATATAATTTAATATTAACCTTAAAAGGGGATTTGTATTATAATTGTCGTTGTTGTTTTAGATACCCAAAAGGATCTCCCCACGATCTCAATCTCATCACCACAAGTTCATCATTGTCTTTCTCCATTCCCAATAGTATACATTATTTATCATTCTTGCCCCCCAGCTTTTGCAATTTCGAATTCTACCCCCAAATCCCAACCGCTGGATGAGTTGATGAAGTAATGCAATCGAAGGGTGAGATTTGGAGGGTGCATTTGTAAAGCCATGCAGGTGAGCGTAGGGGATTAGAAAAGGAATAACGAAATGAAAAGGAAGAACACTACGGTGAGAGGGTCCTATTAAAATTTGTGGCAGAGTCAAACCCTGCAACTTTGACCCAAAATATTAACTCTTTTCTCTCTCCTTTTTTTTTTTAAATAAAATTATAAAAAACAATTTTATTTATTTTTAGTAAATGAAAGGTCCAGGACTTGGGGGGGGGGGGGGGGG